TCATAGAACAATGCTAAATTAGAGTTGCATACTAGCAGTCATCCTTATCTTGTTCTTTAATGAAAATGCTTTCAGCATTTAAATAGTTTAATATTAAGACAATCCTCACATAAGTATTCACCTATTCCTTTCTTATTAACAGTTTCAAAAATCTGAAATAGTTGTTGAATTTTAGCAAATGCCCTTTATTAAATGACTTTTCTGTAAAAAGAAGATGATTACATGGAAACATCTATGACTTGTAACAGAAGTTAGAACAGCAGTATTATGCTTAGCTTTGAAGTCTGAAAAACGTTTTGTCTTCTCCAGAATAACATCATGATAATAAGTATTCCAATTTATTACACATCCTTTAGCCACATACACTTTTCCTTATCCCCTTACTATCAACTGAATAGAGACAATACAATCCTTGTTGCATTATGAATATATTAGATACACTTAGACTTTCCTCATTTTTTCATATATTCCAATTTTTAAATAATCTCCACATTGCTTCTGTTAAAATCATTTGGTTTTTTAACAAAAATTCATCCAAACTTTTTATTATTTTAAGCTTTGATGAGGTTAATAATATCTGAAAAATTATATCAGAATAATTACAAACCCAGTAAACATGCTATAGACTACATATGTACAGGATGTCACGGATGTGGCTAATTTCATAAAAACAAGACCATTAATAAAGAGGAACACTTACAACCTATAATGATACGTGCAGGCACTATAGCACAGTGTTTAAGTGACTTGGATCAGAACTAGAATATATAAATTGGAATACTGGCAATACAATTTATTAGCTATGAGACCTTGGACATATTACTTAATCTATGTGTCATTATCATCATTTGTAAAATGGTGGTAATAATAGCACCTACTTCACAGAATGGTGGTAGTATCACAAAAGAAAATTCATGTATAGCACTTACAACAATGCTTGGCACATTGGAAGTATCCATTATTATGGAAGTAATCACGAAAACCTTTTATACTACAAAGAAGTTCACTAATTATCTTTCGACAAAGAACTTAAAAGTTATCTAACTTAGAAATGAAATACACATTCTTCTTTTATAAACATGTAAAAATTCCAAATTTGCTGCCTATTTTGGGATATTTTATAAAGACCCAGGTCTCTGAGAATAATACTTCATCAATATCTCCTATTAATTAAATGTTACCTTTCTTTTTATATATATATATATTTTATTGTACTTCAGGTGAAGGCTTACAGAACGAATAGTTTCTCATGAAACAGTAGTACACATGTTGTTTTATGACACTGGTTAACAACCCCACAACATATTAACCCTCTAACTTCTCAACATTTTTTTTTTCCTGAAAATACACATAGCCAAAGATACACAATTTCAAAAATTTCTACATACACAGTTCAGTGACATTGACTACGCTCTTCCAATTGTGCTGTTATTCTCACTTAAGATGAAAGCTTACAGAACAAAATAGTTTCTCAGTTAACAGTTACTACAAATGTTGCCCTATGACAATGGTTAACAATCTCACAACACATCAACAATATCC